GTAGGAGGTCACATATAGTTCCTTGTAATCGATTCGCCCTTTCCACCCCACCCTCCCTCTACCCTCCTAGTATCGCCACTCATACCACTGGTCCTGTAGGGATCATCCACCCTGGATTCCCTGTGTTTCCAGTTCCTATCTGTACCAGTGTACATCCTCTGGGCTAGCCAGACTTGCAAGGTAGAATTCATGCTGTTATATTTTACCAATTGACAGTATACATTTAATCTACAAAACTTTAATTTCATGTGATTTTTGCAGATCCTTGGACTTCACTGGGTTCCCAAGAGGGGTTCATGTTTCACCAACAGGGAGAAACCACTTTCAGAATAAGGACATTGACAGCGATAGTCCTCTCTGGGAGAGCATCATCCCATAATCTCTTAAGGTTCCAAAGGGTATTTAAGCAAATTTAACTGCAATATAGTTCAGCCAAACTAAGCAGTTCTCTTTGTACTTTATTCTCATTTATTTTCTACCACATTAGACACAGAGGATTGTACTTTTTCAAGAGATTATAGAGCTCACAATATTGCAGATAAAGATCTATGGCTTTATATAATTATTTAAATAATGCTATTGCTTTCCCCCCTAATTCCTAGTCATGTTCAGCACGTAAATAAATGACCAGACTGAACCTTCTCTAGCAACAAAACAGCCCCCATTAAGAAAACCTTGGCACCCTAGTCTCAAATGATTTCAGTGATCACATCTGGCTTATTCAATATTTTTAGCTCATGGCTTATGAACCTGTTTTGGAAAGAAAACGCAGCCCCACTTTTCCGTGTTTCTTTACATAGGCATGATTGGAATTCAATATTTGCAATACATCATTGCTTGCAAATAAAGAGTTTATTTCTATCCTTCTTTTAAGAGAATGCTCATATAACAAGACTACTGCTGAATTATAACGTGTAAAATATTCCATATCTGAGGTAGCTAGTTTATTGTGCTAATCTGGCCAATAAACATATGTGGGGTTAATTGAAGGGCAGAGCAGAGTGATAAATGGCTCGGTGAGCCTTGCTTTCGCGTTCTCAGGTCTCTTGTTTCTGATGGTTGGACCAGGGTGCGGCTGCCTTAGCCAGTTCCTTGCTTCAGCTGGCAAGGCTCAGTTGTAAGACATCCCCAAGGAGAAGCCACATGGACCTTACCCGATGAAGCCCTGGGTGCTGGAGCAGCTGTGTGGAAATCCTTGCCAGCGCTGAGATGCTTACACATTCACTGATTCAGCTTCCTCCTGCAGTCAGCGTCATAGTGTGTGTTTTGTGAGACGGAGGAGGAATTTGTGGATTGGTGTCGGACATAAGGGCTAATGTTAAATGTTAGACTTGTGGGCTCGGGCAGCACTGGGTTGGGATGTTTTCTTGATGTGCACTTACCCTTGATATAAAACTCTCTCCTATACTTATGAGTTTCTGTGGATTTGTTTCTCTAAAGCACTCAGACTAACACAATATCTAACAATGAAATTATGCTTCATAAATTCAAAGAGCCATGTATATTAGAAAGAGACTATTAGTGTTTTCAGAAACTTAATTCTCATACATACAAAAGGGAATAGTTTTTTATAAAGTTAATTTCCATAAATAAGACTAATTAAGGTTTAAAAATGAAGTTGGTGTAAAAAAATTTTAATGAAGAACTCCCACGCGTTTTTTTTAATTGCCCAAATACATTACCTTAGTCAAGAGCTAACATTATATACATAATGATGGACTGTCAATCGTAATTACTTCCTCATATGATACTAAAAGAATCAGATGTCAAGTAAATGCTGTTACCATAGGGATAAGCTATTTCTAAAACTGCAGTTCACGCGATTGTATTTCTTGGATAAGAGTGAAAAGAAAAGATGGAAATTAACAATATTTGACAGGATTTTATAAATTTTCATTTGCTTACCACAGAATTACAAGACTGATAAGAAAATTGTACTCACTCCATTTCCGTAACTCTGATCTACTCTTCCTCCCTCTCCTTGGCTCACCCCCAAGTGCTGCCTGTAGTGCCAGCTCTGCTGCCAACGCCAACCAGGCTTCCTTGCCCTTCTACGCCACACGGAGTCCCACACTGGCTTCAGTCCTGTCTATACTTGACATGTGATCATTTCCCCCAAAGGGCCTTTTCTTCTTTTGTGAATGGTACCTTTCTGTTGCCCTCACTAAATCTAGAAACAAGGGAAATGGTGCATAGCCTATCATTAGAAGAATGGGTAGCTCAAGAGTGTAAGGGGCAGACTTAAGACTTACAGTTGACTTCTAGGCTTAGTAGCCTCCTGTTTTAACTTGTGACTTTCTGCCCCATAACTATACATTCTATTTGCGGGTCTAAATGGAGGGCCTCAAAAACTTCATGGAAAATGGAATGAAAAGAAAAATTTTCCCCCCAATAGCTTGACGAATTCCCCTCCTAGCCCCTGAACAATGAGCAAGATTTTCAGGAACGGGTTTTATTTCTTTAATTTGAGTTTTCCAATGTTTACAGCATAAACATTTTTTTCTCCTCAGACTTGAGATAAACCCAAACTACGCTGTTATTTCAAGTCTGCCACAATTGCTTAATTCGAGTACGCTTCTTCTCAGAAAATGAACTCTAAAAGTAAAACCAAACTCACTTATTTTCTAATATAGCACAATAGCTTCAAGTTTGTAGCTTCTTCTTGCCCCCAAACAAACAAAACCACCGCCCACGGACATCAAGTCAATGCCAACTCAGAGACCCTTTGGGGCACAGAACTGTTTCATAAGGTTTCCAACGCTGTAATTGTGCTGTGGATGAAAGCTTGTAGAGCATATTGGAATTCCATCAAACAACTTTTATATGCTTTGATTATAACAGCCTTCTTCCCACCCTCTCTCTCCCCGCCTGCGCCTACTTCCTGCCTCCTGAGCGCTGGCCCCAGTTCATACTCTCTGGTTCTAAGGAGTGCATGCCTCC